ACTCTTTACAAGATTATGTTCTTACCTAAACTTTGTTAACACATTTTTTGACACTTCATCTTTCTTAGGATTGTAACAGTAATATAGTTTATTTTGTACTAGTCTTAATACATCTACAATATTCTTAAATGTCCTTTGTTTCAAGACTTCGTTGTTTTTAAATTTTTGTTTGACCTCAATCAATTTTGTGACTTTAATTTTCTTTTCTGCTATTACCTTTTCCAGTTGATCCCTCTCCGCTGTTGTCCATTTCCTTTTACTTTTGACTTGCAGCTCTTCCACTTTACCATTCTCTTCATTGACTTTTTGGCTCTGCCGCCAATCTTTCAATGACTGATAGGCCCCAATTCCTTGGCAGTGTTGACAAAATTATACTTCACTCAATGCATATTGATCAAATGATCCATCATTTGCGAGAGCTTTATGGTCATTTGTTTGTCTTTATTAAGCTCCACCCTTAAAGCTGATTGCTTTCGGTGTTCCCTGGGTGAGATAGTTATTTTTTTGTGGCCGATTTGGGCACAAAGGTTTTCTAATTCCCAATATGGATAAGCTACTTGGTTCCCACTCTTAGTAACAAAGATCCACTCTCAGGAGCATACTCAAGATACCTACATACACATGTTTTCACACTTTTCACATATATTTTTTATTTATTTCTCTACAATCAATACCGTGCCTTTTTCACACACTACTTTGGCTGAGCCATACCGTTGATTTGTTATATGATTCTCAACAAAAAAACATTCCTTTCCAACCTAAAATTTGTGCTAGCAAAGTTCCTGACCTGCACATTGCCATCCTTCTCAAAATAATTGTTTGCTCTTCATCAATTTCACCTTCTTTAATTATTTTTTCCACTTTTGCATTTAAATTTACTCCCTCTAGGGACTGCAGGACCTCATCTCCATAGTCCTCTACCTCCCTTCCAAGTGTGAAATCTATCTTTTCTCTCTCAAGCCTCTTCCTCTTCTTGTTGCATGTTTATATGAAAGTTTTGAGTTTGTCCCAACTTTATACAACCTATTGATGTAAATTTTATGTAAGTAATACCACTCATATTACTTACTTGAAG